CTTGTAAAAATGCCACATTACATATTTATTTGGATATTTATTTGGATATTTTTTTGGTTTCTTTCTTTTCTTTGCGGTTTGTTTGAGGTGTTTGAGTTGCCATAATTATTTCTGCGGCGCCTTAACCGCTCGATTTTGTGGCGTAAATCTGTTGTGTCCAATTGCATCGGCGCCCCTCGTTTCTTGCGCCGGCGCCTTTTTTTTTTTCGGAGCAATTGGGGCGACCTGGCGGGCATCCCGTTGCAAAGTCAAAGTCGTTTCTAAATCTGAAAAGAAAATATATAAGAATTTTTAAAAAAAAAAAAAGAAAAATTTACTTACTTTTATCCTCTGCTTCTTCCTCAAGGAAGAAAAATTTCTAAAATTAATTTTTTTGTCTCAGTTGCGAATGCTGCAAGCCGACATCTTCAAAACTTTCCGGTTTTATGCAATTAAGGTATTTTCCAATATACATATAGTAAAATGAGTACATACCCGTGTCTTTGTGTTAATAATATCCTCAGCTACGGCTCTTTTACGAGTTGAAAAATATGATGTTATTGAAGATTGCGCCATTATTATTCCTTTCTTACTTGCTGTGTTTTATAATAATTAAGTTTAGAACTTCAAGTAGATGAACATCCGAGAAACACACTGCAAAGCCCATCACTTAAATACTTGCTCGCAAATTTTCCCTCCAAAAAAAGAAACGTTCACAAACAGTCATCTTTGTGACTTTACATTATAAGGACATATGTTCAGCGAGTACTGAAACTCAGTTTGTTAATATATAACAGCTGTTTCTTCTTCTTCATCTTCTTCTGTGGATCAGCAACTGAACAACAGACGACTCGCCGAATTTATTTCGTCGCTTCATACTCTTCATAAACGCCCTTGTTTTTAAGATTAGCGGATCAATGCAGGTGATTTGTCGCGCCAAGTTGGAAAGGATGAGAAATTCTTTTTTTGAGCCTTAATAAGGTTAAATTTCAGTTTAGGTTATAGTCTTTTCTTTCATTTTTTTCTTATATTCCTTCGTTTTATTTCAATTAATATTTTACTGCCATTTCCGAGTCGTACGTCTGCCATATTTTTTTTCCATATTTGGAAACATTGGAAGTCTTTGCGCCTAAGTTTTATATTGAAACTGGGCCAAAATATTGTACAACAAAAACCGGCAGTGATGCGTAACGCAACTACATTTTCCTAAACACAAATTTGTGGATTTTGCTCATTACTCACCAATTAATGGAAGATAGAATATTGCAATTTTCCACATTTACTTTACGAAAAACAAAACTATTTATGTATACAATTGGAAAAAATCGTTATGCTCACAAAAAGTCACAAGTGATTAAATTTTTTTTATTAATCATAACATAAACAAGACTGAATGTTTAAAACTATTTTATGCATCCCTCAAATGGAGATATATTATCTGTCTAAAAATGGGTTAATCCTGACATAAATATGGTGAACCTCCTGTTGAATTAATTTTTTCTTATTAATACCGGCGATGTGGTTATCATATAAAAGGACTTGGAGAGTAGAAGGCGACAAGGCAAGTGTATGAATTCAAAATTATTTCGGATTACCGTGACGATGCGGTACCGTCTAGTGTAATAAAAGACTTTGGATTAATTTTATTGCATTCACTTTTTAACGGCAATTAAAATGGCATATCAAAGACTTCAATGGTGAGAATGCGAGATTCGGCTCCATCTGAATATAACTTTCTTAATTGTTATTATCTGTCTAGAGTTTTGGTTTGGTTTAACCTTATCGTATCAAATTTCTGCGTCAAATCATTATTTTGCAAAAAGTTTTATTATAAAATGTTAGAATTAAATCTTCTTGCCTTAAATTAGAATAACGCCGTAGGATACACCCCATTTGGAACGACGGGAACAACAGACCTTACCTAGAATGGCTGAAAGCCCAGCTTCCAACAACAAATGCTCTTAATATTCTCTCGCTTAACTTGCAAGTAGAAGACATCTCTGCATTTTCATTGGAAGAACATATATCCTTAAATCAAAAAAGAAATCTACAGCAGCGGGTCATGACGGTATTAAATACCAAGTGGTAAAGATTTTTTCCGCTTCAAGCCTTTCAGCTCCGCTATCTGCGATAAATGATCGCTGGATGACTAAGCCTTTTCCTGTAGGTTGGCATACAATTAAAATTGTACCATTCCTAAAGCTGGAAAAGATCTTGAAAACTTTACAAATTTCAGACCTCTACCCCTCCTGTCTGTACTTTTAAAAATTACAAACCAAATGATCAAAGAAACACTCACAAAATTTCTGCACAATTTCCGCCAGTACTTGTCTTAATGAGATTCTTCTCAAAATAGCAAGTGAGAAAGCAAATGGTAATCAGGTAGTTAAATTTTAGTTTAGACATCAACAAAGCGTATGACTGTGTCGATTTAGGGAAACTAAGTGATATTCTAACTGATTTTAAAATACCGTCAAAATGTAGATTGTGGATTCTAAATTTCCTTTCTTTGTGAACTCTTGTGTTGGGCTCAAATTTAGTTGAAGTTTGTGAAAGTCTACCTCAAGGTAGTTGTCTCAGTCCACTGCTTTTTAATCTATATACAGCCGGTTTACATCCAATACAGGACAATACAACCCATCTATTTCAATACGTAGAAGCAGTTCGTAATCTTAATATCAAATCCAATTGCCTCTATGGAGATTGCGCTGATTTAAATTTATTTTTCAATCCTGAAAAATCAAAAATATTCGTTTTGCCAAGGGCTCTAACGAAATTTTCTACATCACAGTTAACGGCACGAAAATCAAACAATTTTCCTCCCTCAAATTTCTAGGTAGAATAATCAACTCAAGTTTGACCCTTCACGATCACTACGGATATTTTCTTGAAAATTGCTACACAGGTTCAAATGTTATCAAACTTTTAACCAATTTAAAAAATGGACTCCCACCAAAGAAGGCTTTAAATGTCTACGAATCTACTGTCCGTTCGAGAATTGTATATTTTTACTCCACACGAGGCAATTCCCCTGCGTATACAATTAAAAAATACAAACCTGTCAACACTCAATTCTAAGACGCTGTACTGGTTTGTCCCCCTCGACACCAATATCAATCGTACGTTCTGTAACTGCAAAAGAACTTCTCAAGGTGGAAATTTTAAACCTGCTTTTTTCGATAAAGTCATCTCCAAACATAATGATGTCTTCAGTAGTTATTCAGGCTGTTACAAAAAATTCAGTAACATTTTCAATAAAGTTAACACAATACCCTCTTGGAATAGTGTTATTCACGAAAAGTGCGTCTTGGAGTTAAGCGTACTTGATTCGAGCACGAAATCAAAAAAAAATCGGTCAAGATCTTGTCTTCGAATTGTATGTCGGCAAAAACTCAATGGATGGATCAATAAATTCGGACATTTCTAACTTCTCAGTTATAGAGTATCCAAATTTACCTTTAGGAAAATTCAAAGTTCGGAATGAGTTATCATCCACCTTCATTGAACTTCTGGCCATCAGACAGGCAATCCTCTTTGCAATTAGAACAAATTTAGAAAATTTGCATGTTTTTCTGACAGCAAACCTGCTCTGATGCTAATCAAGAATAAGAATCCTTACAATATGTACGTTTTTGAAATTTACAACCTCTTAAAAGACCCGAGCATCGAAAAATGCTACCTAATCTGGATCACAGGTCACACTGGTTTTGGTATCAATGAAAAAGCAGATTTCTTTGCACATGAAGCACAGTTTGATGGTACAGTTTTGTCCATTAACTATCCTCCCAGTGAGGCTCTCCTGATGATCCAAAAAGCTATTTTAAAGGAATGGAAAGACGAGTATTATGTTTTAGCTAGAGAAAAAAGTGACCGGCTTTTTTACAAAATTTACCCTTTTTTGACACCCAACCTTTTACCTATTATTATTATTATTATTATTTTAATTTTAGACTAATGAATTGAATTCTTAGACTAAAAAAAAGACATTGAGCACTAGCAACACAGGCTATCGGCTCTAATTTAAATAAATGGATATTAGATAACAAGCTTAGTAGTATTAAAAAAGTAAAATTTTGAATTGATATTCTGTTCTGAAGCTGATTGTAGAATGTACAAAGGGTTAATCGTTCCAAATGCAATACTTCTAGCCAAGGAAAAGTTGAGGCAGTCGCAGAGAATGTGCTTTATAGAGTTTGTCCACAACAGCAGATTGGGGGAGAAGACTTCTTCAGGATCCATTGGTGAGTTGTAATTGTATGACCAAGGCGAATTCTCGAAAATGTTTGGATCTTGGTTTTCTCAACATTTGTTGGATATAGAGGTGGAGTTAATTGAGGGTTAATGCAAGAGTAGTGTTGATGATGGCATTGTAAATTTCCTTCTGCAATTTTCTCTTTAACTTTTCTTCCAATGTATCTTTGAAGATCCAACTTTTCCATGACATCATCCATAATTAGAGGAACAGAAGCAGCATACTTTGCCGCTCGATCAGCCTGCTCATTTCCCAGTAAACCGATGTGACTTGGTACCCATAACATTTTAATTTTTCCGTCGGGTGTAGTAATTATATTCCTTAATTTGTTGATGGTGCTCCATCTCATCTCGGGTTCCGGGTAGCTTGTAATACACACAAACGGTCAGTAACAATGACGGTTTTGAGTTTGTTTTTATGGGCAAGGTTGGCAGCGTGAAGGGTAGCTCTGGCTTCATTTATGAAAGTTGAAGTACTTTCGTGAAATATGTGGTTGAGAAGAACCTGTCCTGTAGCATCTACCACCGCGCAAGCAGGAGGCAGACCAGGAGATTTTGAGCCGTCTGTGTACAAAAGATTCCAACCAGTATTGTCCAATACTTGGGTTTTCTCAGCTATTAGATTCCTGAAGACGTAATTTGGAGTATCTTCTTTCTTGTGCATAGACAGTGAGATGTCAAAAGAGCAGTCTTTCAAAATCCAGGGAGGTTTAACACCAAAAGAGCGGGAAATTTTTAAGGGAATGTTCAATTCCTTTGCGATGCACAAACAACGGTCAATTGCAGATGGTGACTTTGGAATTTTCTTCGCAATAATAATCTTTCTTACGTCATCATCGAGAATGGATTTGTTTGAATTAAGAAGCTTAGGGACTATTTTAGCCTTTAACTCATACAGTCTATTTTCTAAAGTTGGGAGACCAGTTTCAATTATAATATTATTTATGGGCGTCGTCCGAAAAGCATAACAACTTGCTCTAACGGCTTGGTGATAGACCGGTTTAAG